CTTGATTTTGATGGCAAATTTTATCTCAAATATAATCAATAATAAAAAAAAGCACTTGCTAGCAAATTTTTACTGAACTAGTTAAACATACCTGCTATACTGAAGCAAAACCATTATTCAAAAGTAAAACTCTTAAACTATTTCTAATAAATTAAATCGTTACATATATTAAAATCTACACAAAAGCAATACTTTTGATTTTAATGTTGAAAATGGATTTAACTATTTGAATAATTTATACAACGAAAACTTCTGAACTCAAGAACAAGAGGATTTTAAGGTTAAAGCTTACAAACCATGAGCTCAGCTTTGTAAGAAAAGTAATTTTGCACATTAAAAATAAATTTTAATTCAATAAAAAATGTTATGGTATCCAATTATCTGTAAACGCTTTTTAAAAAAGACTTCATTTTACTTTACCTTGGCTGTTTATTAAGGGAAAAAAAAAAAATTAGTGAAGCAGATTTAAAAATTATTTAGAAACTAAATTTCGCTGTAATTTAGTTTCTATTATTATGGCCAGAACTAAGAGGTCCTTGAGAGAAAAATTCTGCATTTCAGTGTATGAAATGTTTTAAAACAAAATAAAAATGCAAAACTGAAAACAACTCATTTTCCGTTTATTTCAAAGGGAAAAATTTATATTGTATGTATAAAGTTAAGTACTTTTCTATGTACACTTTTTTAATCAACACAAGAAAGCACATATTTTCCCTTAGATGAAATTAACTGTTTTTCTGAAGGACTGAAAAGTACCATAACTGGGGGGGTTGCAGTTTGCTACAGATAAATTTAATTACTGCGAAGATGCGAGAATTGAGAGTTTATAAAAAGACTGCCATTATTCTGTCTGTTATATCTATCCGTTTGTTAGTGTATATAAAAGAGTTCAAGGTACTAATGCTTATGGTTCATATTTCATTAACCATTCAAATTCTGTCATTAATGCATAGCTGAAGCTTACAGAATTGTGTTATGGATAAACTGGATGAAACTATATTAATGTTGTGAAAACCAAATTGAATAAAGATTGACTGTACTGAATTTTCATAATATTGTCGCATATATGCAAGTTTACAGACCACCAAGTGAGTTCTGATACTCTGGAAATTTGAAGGAAAAATAGTTGAAATGGCCACAGCATAGATAATTATTTGCTACCAACTTAAAAATATTTCTGGACGAATAAAACTAAAGATGGTGCACTGTTAAATTTGCTAGGCTGTTTTAATTCCTAACTGTAAAAAAACTTGAATTGGCTGTAAACGCATTCACATCTGAGCAATTGGAAACAGCAAAAAGTACAATGTATGTACAAGTTTTTAAGAAATTTGATGCTTATCATCAGTTATGACAAAATTTAATTTTTTAATGCTACAGGTGCTTTTCACCTATCCAACAGAAAAAGCAGATCATAAGCGACTGACAATGTTGTTGTCTACATGGGAATTTGGAGATCAACAAGATGGATTCATATGCAACTGCATTAGGTTTGGGATGCATGAAAATAGATTAAAAGAGCATTTACTGCAGGAAGCAGCACTGGAAGTTGAAGAATGCTCAAAATTATACGGGTTGCTAAAACAAGTAAGGAACACCTTCTCTAAATGAAAGAGATTGCCACTGCTGTAAACCACTGTGAAGAACATGCTGTAGAGCACAAAATTCCTTCAAAGAAGTGGTTTTAATGAGTGTCATCAGAACATGAATGCAAGGAAAAAGCAGCATAAATACCCTGTTGCTCGAAAAGTGTTTTCTGAATGCAAGCAAAGAAGTAATTTGCAAACAGGGTGTCTCAGTGGTCCAATCAAAGCTCATGATGTGATATTGAAATAATTATGTTTGTTGATAATCTGCGTAAACATGTTGTAGTGCAAGTAGCCAATAAGCAGTTTAATGTTAATTAATACCTTTAAATTAGATAATAACGTTAAATTAAATACTTATGCTGAAGTAAATATCTTACAATAACATATTCTTAATGGTGAAAATGGAAAACCATAACTTTGAAATAAATGTCACGACCAAAGAAAATACAGTACAAAGTCCAAAATCCGGACTGGTCGTGACTTTGGTGATTCCGGATTTGGGATTTTTCCGGATAGTACATCAATTTAAATCTGGGTTGCAGAAATTATACAATTAAAAATATGAAATTGTAATTTATGAAATAAGGAACAATTATGATCTAAGTATCAAAATTTACAAAAAAAAAAAAAAAAAAAAAAAGCTTAATATTTATTTGTTTTCTTTATTAAACATTCCTTTCAATGTAACTTGTTTAAGGTACTTCCACAAAAAATTCAAGAAGTTCCTTTTTCTTTTTTCTTGTGTCATATGCAGTGGACTTTGCCGTAATCCTCGCATAATTTTGAGACGGATATGCCTTTATCCATTTTTTGCAGCAATTGCACTTTTTGTTTAATGGACATCAAAGCATGGTTTCGCTTTGTAGATTCTTTGGAAACTCTTTTCGACATAATTGAAAGTTCAAGCTTAGTTTTTATAAAATTGCCGTAATAATAACGGTCTGCAAAATATAAAAACAGGATAAAATTAGAAGATCAGGGAGCAGCACAGTCTGCTACATTAATTGAAATGCCTTGGAATCCATAAAGATAATTTTAGCCTAGCTTCATAGTGTCCGTTATACATCATTGGCTGTGTATCACAAGATTGGCGACGAAAGCCAGGTTGTTTCGCTAAATTTTGTCTTGCTCCTATTGTGTACTGAATTAAGCCTGAATTGTATTAGTTATTTACTATACCTATGTTTATTTCTTGCTCATCCTTCAAACTAATCCGAGTCCTAAATAAATAAACTCCCACATATGCTTAAGGCTTTATCTAGGGCCGGCGCTCAAGATCATCAATTTAAATCTACTAAGATGGCCTGCGGAAATTATAGAATTAAAAATATGAAACCATAATTTATGTAATAAAGAGCAATTATGATCTAAAGGGTATCAAAATTTACAAAAAATAAAAGAGCTTAATATTTATTTGTTTTTACTTTAGTAAACATTTCTATCAATGTAAGTTGTTTAATTTGCTTTGTTTTTTGTGCTAATACTTTCTCTTTAATTCTATAAGCAGACATAATTTCTTGTTCAGTTACAAAGTTCCACTGTTCAAGTCCAGTAATTGCTGTGTCGAGAATACCGACTAACTTGTAAATCGAAATTTTTTCATTTTCAATAACGTTCTCTGTTACTTTCTTCACTATCGGAAGCACGCATGGGTAAACGTTTTACTGGCTTTATGCGCATGCGTAGCGGACGCATGCATCAAACGCACATGTGTAAGTTTGTGGCTTTAAGGTCCGGATTATGGATGATTCCGGATAATGGATGCCCGGGTTACTTTGTACTGTATAATAAAAAAAAAATGACTCGCCAGGTCGGCTATATAAAGTAGGTGAATGTTTCAGTTTGAGATGTATGCCAAGTAGATACTCAGCTATGGAGCCAAATTATTAATCTCACAAATTTATGCTTACATCGTTGTTTTACATGACGAGGTATTTTATGTAGTGCCAAAGTGAAATTAAGAATCGGAATTTTTAAGTGAAAATCTCCACATGCTTTATTATGGAAGGAAAAATCAAATGCGCATTCATAAAGCATTAATATATAAATTTTAAAAAAATGTTTGTGGCTTTGAGGTTCAGATTTTAGATTAGACGGATAATGGACGTCCGGATTTCGCTCTTTGAACTGTAATTATTAATTACTTGTTCAACTGATAGGTAAAAAAGCATGCCAATAGAATTTTATGTTATAGATGTTAAGTCTCAGCCCATTTGGGAAGAGAAAGCTTGTTTCTGATTCGAATTAATTCAGAGTTGACGAGATTAAAAAGACCATATGTATAGAGGGGCTGTTGTTAAACTAATATAGAGATGTGTTTACAGGTACAGTTATATTTCCTGTTTAACTGTAGAAGCGTAATTTGAAACATAATCCCACAGTTGTTGTTCATCCACTATGACAGATTACTCATACTCTGCAGGCTAGGTCAAGAAAAACTTTGTATAAAGTAGAAAGTAAGGAAATTGTTTTTAAGGCTAATAAACTAACTGACAAGATACAAAGTCTTATAATAATTAAAAAGCCCAAATCAGTTCTCAAGCTGTGTCTTGATCAGAGTGATGTAAGCAAAGTTTTTAAGAGAGAACTACCGAATTCGTACTCCACATGATGTAATGAATTAATTTAAAGGTAACAATGTATTTTCTTTATTAGATCTGAATACTGGATTTGGGTATATCTCATTAAACAAAGTAAGCACTGGAATTTGCACATTTAACATATTAGTTGATACAAATTTAATAAGATGCCTTTTTGCCTAGCATCTTTCATTGAAATATTTCTGTAAAAACATCAAAAGCTATTTAGATATTTCAAATCAATGAAGTGTACTTTAATTATATAATGAGAGCAGGCCCTCTGGCATTAAGAGAAACTGTACATGAGAATGTAAACTTTAAGTAGGGAACACCACAAGAAAAAGCATTTAATAAAGTTGAGACTTGCTAATAATATCCCTGTTGCCAGCTTACTTGATCCCTGCTTGACTCAAACCATGTTCAGCCGAAAGTTAAAAACTAAATTGCTTGTGAACAAAGAATTTTTTTAATACTAAGTTAGTTGACAGCATGAGGGATAAACTAGTGAACAACAAAATATTCAACTGTTTTTCTCTGAAATGAGCTCAAACCTTCTGGAAATTAAACAAGAAAGTTTGAGGGTTTGGAATTTTAAAAATAAAACTTTCAAACCAGTCCAAACAATCTCAGAAGCCAAATATTTTCCTTTATCCTATCATATGTAAGTGTGTAAAAAATGTGCAATGCAAATAATTCTGAGTTTTCATAATGTAACTTTTTGCTGTCCATATTGTAATGTTTTCAATTTATACTTCAAATGTTCTACTTTTAATCATTTGTGTTTTAATAAAATGTTCCTCACTTCAAAATTTTTCTACATCTTCTTGTGCAGAATGATAATTCTAAAGAATTAAGGGAACCTCAAAATTCTCCAGTGTCGCAAGAAGCTAGTAGACTTCATGGGCAGCGTCTGGAATCATCACAAAGCACACCTGCAAATATTGGAATGGCAGGTTCACGACCACCTGGGGCTCTTCCTGATCTTTTCCCCCAGCATTCTTCTCAGCAAGTTTTGGCATCTAAAGTGGATCGATCTGAAGAGGTAAAATTGGGATGGAGGAATTTGAAAATTTTTTACATTATGTGAAGCTCAGTCATGTTATAGTCATGTCTTAGTTTAAAAATTGTTGGTATTAATAATTTTGTTCAAGTTGGTGATGAACTCAAATAACTGTTAAAAAATTCCATCATGAAATATACAGCTTTAGTTACAAGAACTGTATACCTACTACCTCTTGAGCATCACACATGCTCTATTTTTTACATGCTTGTTATATCATCTCTGCAGCACTACCTATCAACATGTACTTTGCTTACCTTGATTATTGGTGCCATCTCATAGTCATAATATGAGTTACTACATGAATAACCTCCAGTGAATGCTCACAGTGAGGGAACAACAAAATTCTAAGATTAAATAAGATACAGTGCATACACAATTGAAACAAAAATGCAAAATAAATGCATGCAGTATGTGGATTAACAAATAGTATGTAAATATGAAGTAATATTTTATGAATGTTTCAGTTAATTTCAGTGATTATACATTTGTTGAATTTTACTCATCTACCAGATCTTGTCACTTATCTGTTAGTAGGTTTAACAGTCTTAGAACCTATTTACTGTGCTATGCTCTTCTGTTTTCATTCAGGGATGTTAAATACAATTAAGTCATTGAAAGCAAATTCATCTTTGACTCTGTCAAGTTAAATGCACTTCTCCATTTATACTGACAGTAATACTTTTGTCATCTCTGGGCAGTGCTTCTTGTGGTGCTGTGTAAGGTTGGATTAACAGTGGAATATTTTACCATCTCACAAAAACGTATGTGAGCAGATTTTTAATTGAGGATGCATGTAGGTCTTTGAAGTATCATGAACTGATATGAGACACAGTTTTACAAGGCTCATCCTTTCTCTGAATTGTTGCACAAAAATCATATGTTGCAGTGATATAGTGTTGTCAGTTCACAATTGCTGTAATTCTGAGACATCTCCATTGGTTGAAACGAAAGCTTCAGAATCTAAATAGGGTTAATTTGAAATTTTGTTTATCTTTACTTTAGAAAGAGCATCAGTTGCTATGTTGTTAATTGGGTTGTGAATATCAGTGTAAATTGAGATATAAAGTCTGAATAGCAAACATTGGTGAAGGCTGCTCATATCCAGATTTTGCCTAAAATCATATATAAGTAGTTTTTGGTCTGTGTATAATGTGAAATTATTACCTTCTAAAAATCTGTAACATGTGACAAAATCTAGATACCATTGTGTACATGAGGGAAAGTTTGCAATCCTTGGTGGACCCTGTGGTTTGGCATCTTGATAGCTTAACAGACAGACATGTAGTTGATTTCCACGCATTTTATATTAGTTATGTGAGTGAACCAATGACAGTAACATCACTGGGATCAACAAATACACATATTTTTACATTTGGAATAGGATGACAAAGAAGTGTAGCAGTTGCTAGAGCATATTTGGCTTTTGTGAATGTCTATTGAACTACATATGACCATTAAAGTACATTCTGTTGTTTAATTTTTTAAAATTATGCTTTGATTTTTTTTTTTTTTTTGAATTTTTCATTCCCTCTAAAATTTTATTTAAGAATGCTAGAATATGCACAGCCTTTGGTACAAAACATCAGTAAAAAATTAAATGAATGTAAAAGCCATCTTAATACAGATTTAAGTAATAATGGGTGATTCTTGAAATTTCAATGCACTCTGTACATGTTCGGGAATTCGTTCTGTTCCTGACTGAGAAATTTTGAAACTTAAAAATTCGATGTTGGAAACACTGCATTATGTGGGATTGAGATTTAATCCATTTTAAGTGTTCATAATGCTCTTCTGCAAATTTGATGGTAACAAGATATCATCGACTAAGGTATAAACAAAAAAAAGTTTCAAGTGACTTCATCGATTAATCTTTGAAATGTACCAGGTGCATTGCATAGACCACATTGCATTTTGATACTTTTAAGAAGCAAAAGATATAATGATTATGCTTTATGTACATTTTCTGGGTTGATATGGATGTTGTAATGTGTTTTAATAAGATCATTGTGAGAGAAAATTTTTGTTCCGTGAATATCTGCTGTAAAATCTAAGATGTTTGGAATTCCATACTTATCTTTAATTTGCTTAGGCATTAAGAGTACGATAATCACCAGCATGTCACCATTCTTCACTATCCTTTTTGGGGGGGGACCATGTGCAAAGATGACGCATAATTGCTCTTAGAAAGGCAAATGTGACCAAGATCAACTTTTTTTTTTTTTTTTTTTTTTTTGAATAGTTGGCAATTCACAGATCATCAAGTGCAAATCTGCAAACTTTGGCAGGAATGGGAAAGCCAATGGTTTGAATGTAATGGACAACAGAATGCTTTATTTCTGGATCTGAAGTAGGAGGTTTAGTAATTACTGGAAATTCTTTTAAAAGTGTAAATAGTATGTTACCAGATACAATTTTAATGGAGGGAATTTTTGTTTCTTAAAATACAATCAAAATTTATGATCTGATGAGAATCAGTTTTTGTTTGACCATATCAAGTAGTAAATTTTAAAAAAATGTTATAAGGGTAGAAATATTATCAACTAAACATGTTCATTTAAAATCTTTCTCAGACTAAGATCCAAAAATAGTGTCTGAATTATACTTGTATATTAGTAGGACAAGTATTTGCTGCAGAAAATGCTATTTTTAGAGTATTTTATTGTTGTAACTTAAAAGCTGAGTTAATCGCTAGTCAAAACCAGTACCTATAAAAAATTTACATTCAATCATCTGTCACAGACAAACAGATGGTGAGAAATTGAAATTTTTGGTGAGGCATTCGATACCACCTCATCTGGTGTTTCCCTTCCCCCAATTTAACATTTTTTTTGGGGGGGGGGGCTTCAGCACCAAATCTATGATACCAGCACTGATCAAATGTTTTGTCTGTAGCTCTATTATGATTCCACTGGGAGCAGTAGTGAGAACAATTATAGCTCCTAATATGAAACATTTAATCAATTCTAATATTTGACTTTTCTGTCTCTGCAAGAAAGGAATCTTCAATGAAATTAGAGGAAACAACAGAAAAAGTACTTACCATTATTGGTGCTACATCCTTGCCCAATGGTTACTGAGCAAATGCCACCACTATGTTTTGCAGAGACACTGGTACAGGCTGCATAAATAGTTCAAATATTAATTCATCTGGAACTTTGTAGGATTCTGCACATTGATGCATGACATGAAGAAGTTTGCTAGGTCTTCAATCAAATTGCTCACTTTAAGTTTCCTAAATTGATTTTGGATTTGCTGCAATATGAGGATTCGCTGCTGTGCTTAATAAGATTGTTTTAAACAGTTGTGGTAACATCAGATGGAAAATGCTAAACAGTGAATTGAATTTAGTCCTGCTTTCCATAATATCAATTTTCAATTTTCCTAGTTGAAACGTTTTATGCATTATAAACAATAATGCGGGATCAGCAAAAATTGTAGCCAGAATCTTCACAACTCTTGGTATCAGCCATCATGAAAACCACCATGAAAGCCATCATGAAGAAAGAGTGTTCGATTATTTTATGGAAATAATTACACATTTATAAAATTTTACTCTGTAACAAGCAATGGGTCACCATCGTTGGAGTGGGATTCAAAGATTGTACAGTGAAATACATAATTTTATTTACAGCATCAATGCACCAACTGTATCCTGCTCTTTTCATGCTCGATTGTTATCTCATCTCTGTGGCATAACCGATGAACATGTACTTCACTTTGCTTACCTTGATTAGTGGTACCATCTCATAGACAAAGTATGATTTACTACAGTTTGATTATAAAGTTTTGATTTAATAACTATCTTCTGGTGAAGTTTATAGCAGTATATCTGGAATAGTCTTGTGAATGTTAAAAGGCAGTATACTCACTGAACTATTTATGTTCATACTTAAAATTAAATTTTCATATAACAACAATAGTGAAAAATAACAGACGAAATTTGGAACTACACGAGCTTCATCAGTAAATAACTTTTGTCAATTTGTTTTAAATGAATGTTCGAGAAGTAGAACTTAAACTGTAATAAAATCATTTTAAATGTATGGGATTTCAAATGCAAAAATGGAATAGTGGCTTAGAGGATGATCCATTATGATCAAAGCATAGTAAGGAGAAATGAGAATTTGAATCAAATGACTGGGATCCCTTTGATAAAAATAATAAATAGCAAGGACAAAGTTTTAACATCAAAGAAGTTTATTAAACATAGTGAAATTTCAAAAGATTTTTATTTTCATTTGTTTTTTAAAGTTTTTTTGCTTGGATTTTAAAATAAGTTTTATGTTATCTAAGTAACAAAACACTAAGTTTGTGTTGTTTATATTATCTAAATAATGATTATTCTTACTATAATTTGGCAGCTATAGTAAGGATAATCGTTATTTATTACCTGTTGCATGCGCTTTGCATTGAGTTGTGCTTAACATTCTTAGTAATTTGAAGTGTAACTTTTGATTGTATTCTGTGACAGTGTGAAGAGTTGTATAACTGTTTTTGTGGAAAGTTCCAGAATTTTGAACTGCCTCTTTGATAAAATAAATTTTATTAAGCATCGGCTCAATGTGCAGTCGATCTTTATGAACTCGTTCATATGCAACAATTTTTGGTGTTGGGGAATACAGTTTGAGGGAAAGGACTCTCTCCTAAACTACAGTCACCTTTCTACTGTCCTACATCTTATACAGTCCTAAAGAGGATGAACGATATCATAGTTTGTATCCATAAGTCATCAAGTTCTAAGCCTAAAGTCGTTTATTACGATATTCTAGCCCTTGCTATGTCCTAACCATAATACGTAGTCCCCCATAGTGTATATAATGTAAATAGAATTATACTAAAACCATAGTCCTATTTATATATGAGTTTGTAAATTTATGAATTTATTTATTGGTTTAGCAGTTCATTTGTTTCAGTTGTTTATCCTGTCCAGGGATTGTTCTGACCGCGAAGTGCAGTCCTTGGGAAGTGTACAATGTTATGAATTTTGTACATATATAGATAATATGAGATAATATGAGTGAAATGTATGTGAAATTGTATTTTTTTTTTATATTGTGCAACATGAAAGTCTAAAGAAACAATGCTATACCAGAAAAATAATACAGGGAAAATTCAATTTAACATTGAGTAAATGGCTGTCTGCGTAATTTTGCAAGATATTGCCAAGCTGGCAACGGTTTCTCTTCATTATTCGAGCTAATCTTTTTGCCTTTTACTAAAGATTACCGTGGAGAGGAACATTACAATGAACCTCCCCCTCAGCCATCTTTGGTCTTCGGACCGGCTCTCTTCCCACGCTCATCCCAAGGCATTAGCGATTCCGCTGCTTTTCAGAGTAGCCACGACATAACCTTTCCCGGGGCCAGAGGCAATGTTCCTCTCACCCCATTATCTTTCAACAGTCTCGATTTCATCCACGCAAAGCGTGCAGAAATTGCCTGCGATCTCTTCGATCTTTCTTATCGCACAGGTCACTCGACCCTTCCTTAGCGAAATTGAAAGACGAAGGAACATCTCGTCCCTTGAGTGGACTCCTCATCCATTACTGGTTTTTAAGCCCTTAACGGCTTTCACTCCTCACTTTAGCTATGCTCACTCTTAATTATTCAATATTTTCTTAACGAAGTTGTGGAGGTTATTGCATTTATTTTGCAAAGGTACTCCGGAAGCAAAACGCCTTGGGCCTTGGGCAACGGTTTGGTCATCAAATTTGGCGAGAAATCCCCAAAAGTTGCCGGCCATTTGATGACATTTTGGTATAGTTCCTGTATAGCTGTAATAAATATAGTTATTGAATAAATGTAATTGATGCTGTGTAACCATATGTTGCCCTCATATGCCTTCCAGGGCCCACCAGCGACCAAATGGTAAAGTTGCCGAACACTGGTAATTTGGTCTGGGGCTCGAGTCCTGGTGAATGGGCTGACTGCATGGGCGTTTTTGTGCTTTTTCCTATGTGTAACATGTATAAAAGCCCATTTCCCGTAGAATGTCCTCCACAAAGGCATCCTTTGTGTGCTTTACCTTAATCAAATAAGCCAAATGAAACCAAACCGTATGCCTTCCAGTAATTTCAAAAAACAGAAAGTACTAGAAATATCTCGGCGGCTGGGTGAAAACTATATAATACCTGCGAGAGTATCAGTTATTATGAATTGTTAGTTTTGTGTGAGTTTGCAGTACTAAGATCTCCTGGTTAGCTTCTGTCTTTAGATGTGCTTTGCATTGCATTTTGTTCAAAGTTTTTAGTGGTATGAAGTGTAACTACTGATTATACTGTGTAACACTGTGAAGAGTTGCTTGATTTGTTTTTGTGAATGATTCTAGAACTATCTCTTTTGATAAAATAAATTTGATCAAACTAGGATTGGTTCTGCGTGCATTCAGTTTTTACAAACTCGTACGCTTGCAACAGTATTGTAATGCTGAAGATGCTTTTATACCATATGAAAAGAACTTTCACACCCATATGATAAAGCCATTTGCAAAGCATTGTGTTGCTATAATGAAACTAAACATAGCCCAGCAGAGTACCAATACTTTAATTTCACAGCTCTAAATTTTCAGGTATTTGTGTGACTCCGATGAATGAGTTCCATGTAATTACACAATACATGTATCAAATTTTGAATGGGTATAGTTTTCATGGCTACATGACAGCAATATCGTCAAACTGATGCATTTGATAATATATTTGATGTCATATGTGGTAATAATTATCACGTATTAGTACATTTCTGTATAATACTTTTGTAGGTATTACACAATGCTATACAACTTTACAAATGGCCGTTTTCTTCTACCACATTTTGTTGTTTGACTCATCGATTTCCTTAATTTTTATTACAGATTTTATTTTACTTAATTAGAGTTTTTCATTTTACTAGATCAAATTGTAACATGTGCAAATTGGGTTTGGTCTTTCAAAAACAAAAGGTAACATGTATGGACTTTTCTTTGGTCCCTGTGTAATTCCTGTATAGTTGATATAAAAGTTGAAGACTAATAAAAACATGGCAGTTGTAGCTGTCGTTTTTGTTATTACTATGTAGCATAATGCTTATTTTACTGGTAATTTAAACAAAATGTGTAATTCTAGAATTTTATTAATTATTAAATCTGTAGCATTAATTTAATTTTTAAATCAATAAAAAATTGCGAATGTATAAAGTAGTAAAATTACTTTATTGTGAAAATTAGTTTTTGAGTAGAACGGTCATTTATTATTCAAATAAATAATATAGATATAGTATGTTTTTGGCCTCTTTTTAGACTTGGGCTTGTTTTATATGGACATTTTTTTATTTTGTTTTATGATAAGGTTTGGTGTGGTTTATTGAGATTATAGCAAAGCACACTGGGGCTATCTGACTAAGGGGAGGGATGCCTTTGTGGAGGACTTTTTAAGGGATACTGGCTCATGTACATGTTACACATATGGAAAACCACAAAAACGCCCATACAGCCAGACCGTTAACGGGATTCGAACCTCGGACCGAACTACTAGTGTTTAGCGACTCTACCGCTCGGCCACTGGTGGGCACTTTTATGATAAGTAATTACAGAATGAAGTACCTGCTGAAATCAATGGGTAAATTTATGTTCTGTCTTTGTGCTGGAGTTTCACAGAATTCTTTTTGTCTGCCGACTGTTAGCATATCAGCTTAAAATATTTAAAGTTATTTAACATCTACTAATTAAATTGCAAACTAGCATAAAGGCTTTGTGTGACAGTAAATTTTCTACCTGATTGGATCAGAATATTTTTTGTATGTGTTTAGCAAGTAATATGGAAAGGAAAATAAATTTAAATGTCTCAGAAAATGGTTTAAATGGATTTATTTCCATTTAAACCATTTTCTGAGACATTTAAATTTATTTACGTTATCTACACAGCAGCAAATAACATTTATCCACACAGCAGCAAAGTTGCATTAAAAATAAAAGCTGTAATTTGCAGGAAAAACATCATTTCATGTTTTGTTCAGGGTTAGTGCTTGCCTGGTTCAGTAATCTTCAAATTCTTCAAGTTTTGCATTCTATGAAATATGTTATCAATACTTTATACGTTTCTGTTTTTTCTTTTCATGTTTTTATTTTGCAACTATATGTTTTTGTATAAATATTTAGAGAAAGAAATGATGAGCTGTTAACTAGTTCTATAGAAGGTCTCTCTCTTCAACAGAGCAGGAGTAAAAAAAAAATCGCAAAAAATGAAAATTGAAATAAAATAAAATTTTCATTTATTTTTCATTTTTAGCAAAAATTACTGTTGCCAAATACAAATTGGATCCAAATACAAATAATTATAAGTAATGTTAAAAGATCCAATATTTCCTTTTTATCAGTAACGCTTTTTGGATGGGCTTGCTAAATTTATTTAATGAAGGATGTGTGTTATATTATCTCTTATTCGTGCAACTGAATATGTGATGAAAGTTTTAATTTCTTTGCTTGGTAAGAATATGTATGTGTGGAATGTATTTTATGTTATTTATAAATATCTTTTATAGCTTCAACATAAGCAGCGATCATTCCTTACTTTTGGGTTTGGTGCTGGCAGTGGTTCATCTCCTTCTCCTCAGAAACAGTCTCAAATCAATGTGAATGTTACTCCAACTGCACATGAAACTACACCAGATACTCCAGAAATTAGAAAATATAAAAAGAGATTTAATTCTGAAATTCTTTGTGCTGCATTATGGGGTATGTAATAAGGCATCTGAAAAATCATTTTATTAGGTATAAAACATTTCAAATATATATTCCAATGTCACTTTTTAATAATTAGCTTTCTTAAATACTGGTATCCAAAATTATTGTTACAAGCACAAAAACACTAATTTCTAAAATATTGTCAAATAAAATTCAGTGTACTCTTGGCTGGGTGACAAGTATCATTATAATGTGTAAATGCAAACTAAAAAAAACCGAACATGAGTGGATATACAAAATTATTTTATAAAAATAAAATAATACAGAACAAGTGTATCTCATGAATGAATGCAGATTTTTGATATAAATAGAGATTGTGATTACTTGTCTCATGGATGGAGTTAGAAAGGAAAGAAGACACCCTTCTCAGATTACAGTGTTGCCGAGCTTTGGTAACTGAAGGGGTTGTGGTAATTTTGATTACATTTAGAGCATGTTATCTTGACAGCAGTTTGGTAGTATGTCTGCGCGCAACAGTTCTACTGAAATCAAAAAGCAGGAACACTTCTGCATAAAAGAAACCTTCATTGCTGGAAGAGTAATAGTAATTTGTATAGTTTAATGGCATTTCCGCATAAATCACATCTTGGTTATCTTTTGATAATTTGCTACAGCAATTTTAATTATGAATTTGTTTTATTGGTTCTAAGCTACTGGACTACAAAAATATAGATTTTAGCAAAATATTGCAGAACAATAACACATTTTAAAGCTGAATTTCCTTATAACTAGTATAAGTGTGAAAATTTGTATACTTCTTTCAGTGCTTTTGATAGTGTATTTGCTGTTTTTGTTTTATGTTGCAAATATTAAAATGTTTTAAATAAAATACATCTTTGTCATCCATGTAATGTAATGTTAATTTAATAAGGGTAGAGGCATAATAGTTGCTCATTTTAAACTTATCATTTTAGTTTTATATTATTTTATAAATATGTATTTTTATTTTACAAATTACCGTGAAATCCTGTAATCCTTGCTAAAATTAATAAATATGTAGACAGATATGCTAATATATCAACTTTTCCTTCATTTGTAACCATATATTTGTGTAAAGCTGTATACAGAAACATTTGCCAATAAGGCAGATATGCCATGTATGGTCAAGATGTCATCATGTGAGTGTGTCACATCATCATGGCAGCTATCATGAATTGTCCTCTTATTGATTCCAGTTTGTAAAATATTTCCCACATGAGTCTTGGAAATTTGAGGTTCATGGTAGGTTCCTAATGTCTGCATAGTTAAAAGGAGTTGAAATGCTGGAATGTCAGTTAATTCTCTCATGGATTAAAGATTTCTGTCAGAAATTGAGAACTAGTAACAACAAGGGAATTGAATACTGACACCATATATTCAAGAGTTAAGTATGGGCTCTTGCTGTGCTTTTGGATGGACAAACGAACCTTCAAAACAGATTCTAGGAGTAACATTTCACAGCTAAGCATAGATAATCCCTAAGGAAAGGACAAGAGATTGAGTAGCGACTGCTAATTTAAAAGAGTTTTAAGACATAAAACAATTATCATGAATGTCGTTGGTATATCAATACCTTTTTTGCATATTGTTACATTTTAGATTTCCTTCTAATATGTAAATTTCAGGTACTTTTGAATTCGGATCAGTTATAAGTTTTCTCTTTCAAAATATGAAGCAATATTGGTATGCAGAGTAATATAATCAGTATTGCCATCTGATGACAGTGAGTTTAATTTTTAAATGTGAAATGAATAGTTATTTATTATATTATCAGAGAACTATGAAATTGGGTAAAATTACCAAGAGAGATATTTAATGCTGTGCCAGAATATATTTACTAGAAAATCTGAATTTGATAATGAATGTATCCCAAAACATGTTTTAAGTCAATAGTTTAAAATTTGATTTCTAAATGTAAATATAAAATTATGCATGTTCAAATATTTGCATTCAGACACATAGATCAGGTTACATTTTTTTAAATAGGGTAAGGCATGCGAGGGCTATCTGCCTAAAGGGAGAGATGCCTTCGTGGAGGATTTTCTAATGAAAACTGATTGCATATTGAAATAATGCATGTAATTTTCATTCAGGATATACATATTTATGTAAAACATTCCCTTATATGCTAAATTGTAAATTACTTTAGTCAAAAAAATATAGTAAATGCACACAAATAAAAGATTTGAACATGCCAAAAATAAAAAGTGTTAAATACATATGCGTATTTGTGCATATCCTTGTAAAAAGCATGCATTTGCCATTAAAAAAATGTTTACAAAATTACTTGTAAATGTATTTGGAAATGAATGATTTATTCATTCGTAAACTCACGAATGTTACTGTGAAGAAATATAGTTTTTTAAATATTTCTAAATTAAAAATGATTATAAATATTATCTAAATACATGATGACCTTAACATTTAACTGTAAACATAAACTGAAAGCCTGGTGACAAAAATATTTATAAAACTATTTAAACAAGAATTATTCTTACTGGAAAATAATTTATTAAAAGATGTTGTAAAGCAGTCTATGAGATGTGTGTTTAAGGAAGTAGTGAAGTGGAATTTGAAATCAAGTGTAAAATAAAATTCAGTAAGTATTAAAAGATTTGTTTCCTTGCAATTTTATAATAACTGAGTTACAAATTTTAAATAATGTTAACAAGCCCCTTCTTTTATGCCTTTCAGAAGTGTAGACAGTTAAGCACATGGAGATCAGAAATCAGAAGCAATAACATATTTCACTACAGTCAAAAGTCGTTAATTCGGACACCCATAATCCGGAATGATCTATAATCCAGATCTCAAAGCTACAAACTTTCTGCGCATGTGTTGCGTTGACGCATGCGCATAGGCGTTACGCATGCGCGTAAGACCTTTAAGGCTGTGCATAATACATTTACACATGCGCGTTTAATGTATAACGGACGGTATAAGCTAAAATTATCTAATTATCTATTTCAGTTAATGTTGTGACGCTAAAGCAAAGTTTAAAGTTTATAAAATTAAACATTTTAGTAATAGTAGCAATAAAAGCTCCCTGAGATAATACGTTGTGCAGACATTGAAGACAATAAAAGGTTTCGAACTTAACCAATATATTAAAAATATAATAAAGAATAAAAACACAGAAAATAAATTTAAACAATATCAGAGTCTTAGGAAAAATATAATATAACCATCATTCATCAAATAATATTTTTACCTGGTCTCCAAAAACACTGGCATTCAATACAAAAAAAAATGTCCTAAACAGTAATTATGCGGCCTAAAAATGAAGTTGGCTACACATTCAAAAAGTCCCATGATCAATGGTTCGAGAAAACACCTGAAATTTTAAATCGAAGTTCTTGAAAGCACTTCAAAATCGGCCTAACTCCGTTTGCATTAGTTGTACACGAGGAATCGCCGCTCACGTATTTTAAATGCCGCCATCTTCATTGAAGAACATGGATGCCGCCCACGGCAGTCACTCACATGGTAGAAATCTCTGGTAACCAAGGAACTTTATTCTGGAACAATCATCTTGTGGATATGAACCAAGGAACTTATTCCGGAACAATCATCTTGTGGACAGGTACCAAGGAACTTTATTCACCGGACTGCATGCATCCTTCTGAAGGGGCTGGAAACCGCACATCCGAGTGCCAGGAAAGCAGGAACTAGAAGGAGATTTGAGCCAGAGCGACGCGAGATACTTATAGCAGAAGTAGGCATGACGTCATCTCACGGCAACCAATCAGCTATCGTCACGAATCGGCTTTCCAGATGACATAACATCACGTTTCGTTTTTGCATCTCAATTAGGTTGAAACAGTCCGTTCTCAACGCAAACAGTGGCAGTAAGAAAAAGAAGTAAAAGTAACTACTATATTACATTAAAAATAAGAACTAAACTAAATAAACATTTCGAGGAGAGATGCTGCAGTAAAAGGTTTGCAGTAAGTTATATTTTCCAACATGTTGCAGATTGCGTTGCTCCTTAATCTTCGAATTGGATCCGGCTTATTATTTTTGACAGACTATTAGAGCAATTTTATAAAAGTAAGCTTGAACTTTCGATTATGTCAAACAGAATTTCTGATGCTGAAGCTCCCAAAGGATCTACAAAGCGAAAGTATGTTTCGATGTCCATTAAACAAAAAGTGGAATTGCTGTAAAAAATGGATAAAGGCATGAAGAAAGTGACAGAGAGGTTAGTGAAAACGAAAAATTTCGATTGACAAGTTGGTTGGTATTCTCGGCACAGCAATTACAGGACTTGAACAGCGGAACTTTGTAACTGAACAAGAAATTATGTCTGTTTATATAGAATTAAAGAGAAACTATTAGCACATAAAACAAAGCAACTTAAACAATGTACATTAAAAGAAATGTTTATTTAAGTAAACAAATAAATATTAAGCTTTTTTTTTTTTTTTTTGTAAATTTTGATACCCTTTAGATCGTAATTGTTCTTTATTTCATAAATTACGGTTTCACAATTTTTATTTTATAATTTCTGCATGCCATATTACCAGATTTAAACTGATGATCTATAATCCGGAAAAATCGATAATTCGGAATCGCCGAAACCCTGACGAGTCCAGATTAATGACTTTTGACTGTATCAAAATAAAAAGGTGCTGTAATTCGAAATGAATCAAACAGAGCATTAACTGCAGATGACTATGATTTTTGATTTAAAAGATGGCTCAGAAGCTGAAATCATCCCATAATTGAAAAAGTATTCCAAAAGTTAGCCATTGTTTATTGCACTTTTATCCTTCAGATTATTCCTGAAAGCTTAAATTTTTAAAGAGAGTATTTGAGAACGTATCCTGTTTCATTGTAATTATAAGGTTCATATATTTTTATGAGATAATTTGTGTACAGCAGACACTCTGAGGTAGTTGTATCCCTTCTAAAACATCACCAAAAATATTACAAGAAAATTATTGTATAGTGACTCTCGGATCCTCGTAATCATCCTGGATCAGAAATTTCATATCTTAACTGTGCTCCAAAATCAAGTTCTGAAATGAAACTTTTGCTAATAAGGGGTAAATTTTGAGTCATATTATAAAGCATCTTCACTGTGATTGTACAAATCTGAACAGATTTTTCTTTTTTTCTTTAATTAACACTTGTTGTTTTTGAAAATTCTTTCAGCATTTGATTTTGATCTTTCAAATTGTGTATAAAGAATTTGACGGAATTCTGTACTCTTTATGTTAGAATTCTCCTTTTCTATGACATATACTTAGGATTTCATTTTTAGAATTAAACTGTTTTAGGTGCATTTTTAAAAATGATTTCTTGCCATCTTTTGCATAAAATCCGAATAAACTGCATTGAGAATGAAATTTCAGAGTTTGTTCGAACATAAATAAGTAAGCACTAGAAAAATGTAAACTTATTTTTTTGCTTATTTATTGTGCATTGAGATTGCAGTTATTTTGTTTGCTGGTAATAAAATTTTCTGACCTTATGGCTTTCTGGAATTGTAGCATTGTATTTCCTCGTGTGTTTGGGGGGGATATTGTTTTTTAGCTTTAAGGGTGGGAATGTTCCAGTTAAATATGACCCATATAATACTAAAATGATCATTTATAGGAAAGCGCAACATAAAATAAAACTGCCTCCTTAAAGGTTGAGAGGAAACAATGTTAAATATTGTCAGCAGAGAGGTGTAAGTACGGAATATACCGGAATGTCCTTGAAATATATTTTGGCTAAGTTTTTGAGCAGAAAAAGAACATCCTGTATTATTAATGCATGTCTGATATATTAGTATATATTTCTTCCATTACTGTTATTTAATTATCATATATCGAGTTTTAGACTTTTTAAAATTTTATGTTTGAAAGTTATTTAAAACTTGTTGCATGTAGTTTACATGCAGTTATGTACATTCTGAGCATGCACTGGCTACAATATATTATTATTCAGTTATAATGCACATTCTGAATTAAATACAAATAAAATCCATGAATAAATATGCAGTTAGTGCTAAAGTGAATCCTTACATTAAAAAAATTCAGTCAATTCCAAATAAAATAAAATAAATAAACAATGATTTAAATAATTATAATATAATAATAATTAATAATGTAAATTATTGTATAAATAATTAATAATATAAAGAATAATAAAATAAATAATTTTTATAAAAAGATAAGTTAAAAATTTTTTATTGAAGAATGATGGATAAAGTGCTATCACAAACAATCAGTGTGAAACAAAACTGTTTACTGAAAAACCAAAAAGGAAAAGTTTCCCAGTAGTATTCCCACCCAGCAAAATGGATGGGATACCAGATGATGCCACAGTATTTTAAGCGCACCAGTGGCCAATTGGTAAAGTCACTGAACACTGGTAGTTTGGTCCGGGGTTCAATTCCTGGCAAACGTGCTGGTTGCATGAGTATTTTGGTGGTTTTCCGTGTAACATGTATGTGAGCCAGTTCCTCTTAGAAAGTCCTCCACAAAGGCAACCCTTCCATTGGCCAGATAGTGTTTGAGGGCTTTGACAAAACCTAGTAACTGTATCTTATGTCATAGTACTTGAAAGCTCTTTTTATCCACAGCAGTGTATTTTAATTATGCATTAATCTAAAATATGTAAGAGCTATTAAATCATCAGATAAAACTAAATCAAGTATACAACTGTTTCATATTGATTTCTAGAGTTATCTAAACAAAACAAACAGTGTATAAAGAGGATGCACCGATGTGTTTGAGAAAGAGAGAACTTTGTACACAGATTTAATTTACATTGGTAATTTGCATAACCAAATGAACATCTGCCAGATTAAATTGCTTAAAAATACATTTAAATTATTTATAGTATTTAACTATCAATTATAACATGAGTTCATCTTCATTATTTGTGTTCTTCAAACAAACCTCGGATTAACTGATGTTTTAAGCTGCCCATGGAGATCGTTCCCCATTTAAATGGGAGTTGATTGTAATTTTAAGTAATCAAAATTATTGATTTTTTCTGAAAACACGTTTTGTATTGAGGTTTTCTTCATTTTTTTAAAACTTTTTTTATAATAAATTTTGTTTCTCTTTCTATTTGTTTTCAAACATTCATAAAAATATTGAGTGAATGGAATATTAAATATGGACTTAGGTACATAACTACTAAGAAATATTGGTACATCTCATGTCCAAATTTGTGCTGGAATTAAAACTCATTATTTAATTAAATGTAATATTTGCTCAATGAAATCCATCATTTGTTTCAATTAAATCAGTGATGCTGAAAAATTCTATGCTATTTGACATGGTATGTGCATTGTAAAATCTGAGAATTATTTTAAAAAAAACTGAAGACTGGAGTCCCATTTTGTGTTTATTAATTTGCATTGCATTTGACATTTATGCAACTCCAAGACAGCCTACCACTGAGATTTGAATTCATTTCATGAACTTTCTCTTGAAATTAATGTTTGGGTTCACGTATTTGGTAGTGAAACAGAATGTTAAATTTATGGAGTACCAGATGATTGATCTTTCTAATATGTATTTATGAAGGTTAGAGAATTTTAAACTTCACTTTATGGAAAAAAATCAGTTGTTTGCCATACTTGCATATGAATCTTACCTTTTCAACCAACAGCTTTGAAAATATTGTATATGTAATAGACAGAAATGAGAGGAATTGTTCCAAACTAAAAGATGAGACAAAAGGAGAATTTTTTTCTTCAGAATTTTAAGTCAGTACATTATTTTAATTATATTTCATAGTATATTTATTGAAATAATAGTCTTGTAATGTATCTGAAACTACATTGCTACAAGTTGCTACAAGGAGATGTACACATACCTTCAGAATTTTGGTGAACTTTCTAATCACTTCGCTGCAGTAGATTAGTGTTGATTTTGTTCAGTTATTGAAAAAAAAAAAAAGTGTGTTTAATTAACATATCCAGGCATTTTGATGAAAATAACATGTCTTATTTATTATATTGTTCTCCCAAAACAGGATTATTAAAGTAGCTGCTCTTGTTTTTGTGTTAAATTTAATTACAGTTTAAACAAAAAGTTTTCAGTTTAGAACAAAACTTCAGGTAGTATTTTTTTCCTGTAAATAATATGTATGGGGTTTTTCCCTTTTTTTTCTTTCTCCTCCTCCTTTTGGTCTTAATAATGTATAATATTTTGTTGTTATGTTTTCCTGCAAATATCAGGTGCCACATTAAGGTTCACATTTTAAATGATTCTAAAAAACAAATTACCATTGACTGATTAATACTGCCAATTTTGATCTTATGGTTCTGTTTATAGTACTTTATTTTTTAATTCCCAACCACTCACTTTTGGTTAAAGCTTCTTGTATTTATTTTCTTTTAGAAACTATTTGTTAGCTGTCTATATATATGTAACATTTTAAATTTAAATGATTAATGTGTTTTTGAAAGTTAAAAGTTATCTTTTCATTGCTAATATGAAATAAATTGGTGCTACTTTGGTAGACGGTTGCACGGATTTTGGCGATTTTCTTTTGACGAGTAATACGACTTATGGTAGACCCATTGCTGGATAAGTTATTTATGGTAACCGATACTTTGTTGTCATTTTATTTAAAAAATAATGTGTTTTATTGTGCATAAATTCCGTATTTTAAATATTATATATGGCTTCTAAATATTAAAAGTCAATTTAATTTTGCATTTTTATTTGAAATAAAATTTTTATTGTTTATCATATTTTAGTGAAATTTTATGTTGTGGATGATGCAATCAATGACATCACCTTACTTTAAAAGTAATTGGTTTTAATATGTATAAATTTAATCTAATGTTTTAAACATTATTTATGGCTGTTAAATATTAAAATACGATTTAATTTTGCATTTTTTAAAATAATGATTTCATTATGTATGAATTTTTAAATATTTTTAATTCTAGGCATGATATCATAAGCTCTCCGATTGGTTATAGAATATTTGTGCATTAACGAGCTGTAATCAGCTCCCTCATTGGTTACTGACAATTTGTGCATTTCTGCGCCGTTTTAAAATTTAATTCATATCTTCGAATTCCTTCAAAGATGTTATCTAAATTATGATTCCGATTTTTTTTGTGGTACTTATCAATAAACAACAGGTTAAATCACTCAAAAAATGTAAGTGCATATTTTTCTTTTATTTTATAATTGTATTCAATTTTTGTTAAAAAAATTAATACACTATTTTCAAAAATTGCTGAGATAATTATTGTCCATATGTTTTAATGTTAATTATATTCTATATAACGTATTTTAAAGTATTTGGATTTAATAATATTCTAATTCTTTTAAATGTTGGTATGATGGTTTTTAATTCAATATTTAATTTGAGTAATATTTGAATCTAATTAAACGTTGGCGTAATGTTTTTATTCTCTTCTTTGCTATATGAAAGTAATAATAACCTTACTTTAGTATTTTATACTCATAATAAATGTATTTCTTTACACTTGCCTGCCATCTTAAAAAAACGACATTTTCAACAAAAATTAATCCATTACTTTTAACGATATTTAATTTTTTAAAAAAAATTTCGAATACTTTACTATGCGTAAAAACAGCATTTTTCAAGATGGCTGACGTTTGTAAAAATGGCGCCAACAATTGCGCCAAAGTAAATCACCAAAAATCCGTGCAACCGTCTACCAAAGTAGTACCAATAAATTAATCACACTTTATGAAAAAATAATAATAGTAGCATAAAAGCACTGTATTTCATATTATGAAAGTAGTAATTTTGTTTTAGGTGTAAACCTTTTAATTGGCACTGAAAATGGTCTCATGCTTCTTGATAGAAGTGGTCAGGGTAAAGTTTACCAGTTGATATCACGAAGGCGATTTCAGCAAATGGAAGTATTGGAAGGTCAAAATATATTAGTTTCAATCTCGGGGAAGAAATCCCGTGTACGTGTGTACTATTTATCATGGCTAAAGAGTAAGATACTGCGCTCTGATGGGGTAAGATTATAATTTAGTTTTCTTCAGTCATGAAATTTTTTGTCCTTGTTTTTCTTTGTGCATATCATACACTGAAACTTTTATGAGTTGTTACGTAACTGAAAAAGAGATTTTTGGTGAGTTATGTGGTGACTGTGAACTTAGTGATAGAAAACTGAAAGCTAGGAAATCTGAAGGTTTAAATTTTGAAAAATAGATTTTTTAATATCATGGCCTTTATTTTTATGCTAAGTAACATAAAAATAAGCACTTAGTGTGATTGAAATTATTACCAATTTTTTTTTTAAATGTGTGTTAGAAAGCCTTGGTTTGCAGTTCAATTTTAATCAATACATTTTAGCCATCTTTAATAATTTTATCGATGCATTTAAGCCATCTATGTAACTTTAAAAGTTATTTATGTGCCATTGTGAACTCGGAGAAATCAAGGAATTTCTCCGTGACTTCTAAAACATGTTTATATGTTGGACTGTGAAGTTCGTTTTAGCAGTTTCTTTCTTGTTTATTAGGAATGCTTACACATTATAAACTCTGCACTGCGCTAAATTTCTTTTTCACTTTTTATTCATGCAATAACAAAACCACGAACTACTGTAGGCTGTTACCTCATATTTTGAATTCCCGTTTTGGAAATGTGTATACAAACCAGTTTCCCATAGATGATACTCCACAAAGGCATCCCTCCCCCAAAGCAGATAGCCCTCAAGGCTTTGCCGTAATTAAGTAAAATAAAAAATAGAATAACTCATTTTGGAAATGGCTGACAGAGATACTATATCTTATTAGTAAATGTTGTTAAAGGAAATTTTATTGGCGGGAGAGAAATTATGTTGGCTTAAAACCAATCTTTTTTTGCATTATCAAGTTAGAGTGGTTTTTTCTCCATAGCAGTAGGCCTAGGTGTAACACTTTTGACACCTTAGGCAATGAGTATAATTTGACACCCTGTATGAATTGGACATTTTCATAATTCGAAACAAATATATCTGCATTTAGTTGTTTCTTATCAGAACAACTTAGGTGACACCCTTTGAAAAATTGGCGCTTTAGGCAGTTCTCTTTGTTTTCTGTGCTTGGAGCTGAGCCTGCTTAGCATAATACATTTGTTCTGATAAAATCTTAAGAAGCATCATGTTATCCAGAAGCATTTTTTTAGAGTTAAGGTAGAAGATTCCGCTTCTGAGTAGACCAATATAAATTTTGTGTATCTTCAGTAAGTCTACTGTTATCAATATTATTGCGTGCTGGGATATATTTATACAAATCTGAACTGCAAAAGGATGAAGATATTCTTAGAATCTGTAACTAAGATAAGACAGTATGTGGACTGGTGGGTGTTGCCTCTTCAAAATACCTGCCTTTGCATTCTGTACACTGTTTTCAGCTCTATATTATTTTCTAGGATGCAGATGGAAGACCATATTTGCAAAATCATTTTAAAGTAGTTGACGTGTCTTCACTTTCTACATCTGTGTTAGACTTTTTTCCTCTGATTTCTGGGATTTTGTAATAATTTATTACTTCAAAGCATGCATTATTTACTGAGTGATACACAATTTTGCACTGTAGAGAAAGTTATTCCTAAATAAGCAATTTCAGTCTTTTCTCTCTAGTTATTTGTTTCAGTTGAACTTATTTTTTTAAATATTTCTCCTGCCTCTTCCGAATCCCTGGTCTGTAATGCTGTTGCTTAAACATAAAAAGGAAACAAAATTTATGTTTATATATAAGGTTGGGAATTCATATGCTTCCATATTACTACTGTCAACTCCCGATTGACCGGCTCTCCACACATGCACACACACACACACCAAAAAAAAAAAAGGCACTCAGAAAAAATTTATTGCAAGAATATCAGCAGACATATTTGTGAGAGAGAGAATAGTTGCTGATATGACACTTCATTTGTCGACTTTTCAGGCTTATTCTTCCCTTCTCCCTTTTCCCTTTTCAACGTGGTTTTAAAAACTTGACTGCAGTTTCTAAAACTTGCTCAGGTGCTTCATGGAAAACTTTGGTTTTTGCTTTTCATTGACAATTGTTGTGAATTACTGTAATCAGCATTGCTTGCAACATGTCATAAAGAAAAGAGAGGAAGTGTGTTGTTCTTTCCATACATCAGAAACTTGAAGTGATAAGTAGAGTAGAGAATGAATCAAGCATGAAATCAGTACTTTTGCAGCACAGATTTAGCAAGCAGACTGTTCCTGATGTATTGAAGAAAAAGGATCAACTTGCACAGTTGGCATGAGCACCTATTTCTGCTGTGGGAATGAAGGAAAGCAAAGCAATGAAAAAGTCAGCTTACGAGGACATTGTTAAAGCTGTGCTGGAAGGGTTTAGTCAGCAGGGAGCACAGAGAAACCCAATAAATAGACTGATTGATGCAAAAAAAGCTAAGTATTTTTTCCCAGCAGTTAGGACCAGAGGAGAATTCTGTGCATCCTCAGGATGGTTTACGTCTTTCAAATAGCGCCATGGTATTCAAAAACTCGGAAGTGCACAGTGAACTTTTGAGTGGTGATCAGAATGCAGCAAAAGATGGCAACGGTTTTAAAAACTTGATTGGGGCTGAAAATTAGAGCAAATATAGAATGTTAATGAATCAGAATTAATTTGGAAAAACTTACCAACATAAACTCTTGTATCCAAAAAAGAAAAGAATGCTTCTGCTCACAAGATTAGTAAATCTTGTGTCACAATAATGACATGCTCTAATATGGCAGGAAACCACAAATTGAAACTGGTTCTCATTGGAAAGGCGTAGAAAACCAATGTCTTTTAAAGGCACTTGCACACCCAACTGACTGTTGGACTATTTCAATCAGAAAAAGGGGTGGTTGAATAGAATCATACTTCAGCAATGTTTTGATGCAAAATTCGTACTTCAGGTGACAAACTTTTAAAATCATAGAGCTTCCCTGAAAGACCAGTGTTAGCACACCCAACTGACCGTTGCACTATTTCAATCAGAAAAGGTGGGGGGGGTGGTTGAATAGAGAATCATACTTCAGCAGTGTTTTGATGCAAATTCGTACTTCAGGTGACTAACTTTTTTAAAATCATAGAGCTTCCCTGAAAGACCAGTGTTAGTTTTAGTCAACACACCATTCCACACTAGTGAATTGACATTAAAATCAAGGGATGGACAATTTTTTGTGAAGTACTTGCCATCTAGTGTGAGAGGCAGCCCTAATAGAGCCAATGGAACCAAACTAAAACTAAAACTAAACTAGGTATAAAAGTTATGTTGCCAAATAACATTAGGAAATTCTGACAATAGAATTAAATATTTAACATGCTACTTGGCAATAAGTAAAATTATTACTCTGGCTAATTTTGAAAGGCAGCCTACCTATGGTATGTCACCCACAGCTATACCAGAGCTGCTGGTGAGTTGCTGCCCTTAACCTAGCGATCAACTTTAGATATGTAAATTAAAACCAAATAACAGTTTATTTACCCATTCCTGGTGGATTATCAAATAAAATGAAAATATACAGCACAAAACTTAATGAATAAGCTTTTGATAATGAGTTGCAAAAATTGATACTTTTTGCCTTGTTGAGTATTAAAATTTAGAAAAGCAGGTTTCTTTTAAATGCTGCCCCAGCTTGTTTTTTTCATACACTGACACTTAAAGTAACGTACCAACTTGCTCAGCAACAGTGAAAATTATGACCTTCTATAAATGCAATTCATGCTAACCTTCTCCAAGGCAGCACGGGACATTCACTTTGATAGGCACAAGTTTACAGTTAACCTAGTTACAGTTTTATACATTTTTCAACTGCTCTTAAATTTTGTATTACCTCTTAATTTTGTATTACCATCTGGTCTGAGGGAATATATGTGACATGAATCAAGAGAACATAAAACAGAATTTAGACTGTTTGTGGAATTTAAATTAATTCTCATAAGATAAATATTTTTTTTTTTATTCTGTTCATAGTTATTGGATTGTATTTGTAGTTAACATATAAAAGTATTTAGTTACTGATGCTTACATTGAAAACTAGTTTTATTTTTGTTTGGTCTGGAAAATCATAGACTTGATTGGTGCAAAAAAAGCTAAGTATTTTTTTCCCAGCAGTTAGGACTTGAGGATAAATTCCTGTGCATTCCTCAGGATGGTTTAACGTCTTTCAAATAGTGCACAATGGTATTCGAAAAGCTAAAAGTGCACAGGTGAACTTTTGAGTGGTGATTCAGAATGCAGCAAAAGACTTTTGCAGTGATTTTAAAAACTTGATTGAGACTGGAAATTTAGCTTCCAGTACAAATATACAATGTTAATGAATCAGGAATTAATTTGGAAAAGTGCTTGCCAACAATAAACTCTTGTGTCTAAAAACAGAAAAGAAATGCTTCTGGCTCACAAGATTAGTAAATCGTATGTGTCGACAATAAGGACATGGCTCTAATGTGCGGCAGGAACCACAAATTGAAACTGGTTCTCATTGGAAAGGCGTAAAAAAAAAACCAATGTCTTTTAAAGGCACTTGCACACCCAACTAGCTTACCTGTGGAACTATTTCAATAAAGAAAAAGGGGTGGATGAATAAGAATCATATTTCAGCAATGTTTTGATGCAAAATTCGTACTTCAGGTGACAAACTTTTTTAAAATCATAGAGCTTCCCTGAAAGACCAGTGTTAGCACACCCAACTGACCGTTGCACTATTTCAATCAGAAAAAGGGGTGGTTGAATAGAATCATACTTCAGCAGTGTTTTGATGCAAAATTCGTACTTCAGGTGACTAACTTTTTTAAAATCATAGAGCTTCCCTGAAAGACCAGTGTTAGTTTTAGTCAACACACCATTCCACACTAGTGAATTGACATTAAAATCAAGGGATGGACAATTTTTTTGTGAAGTACTTGCCCATCTAGTGTGAGAGGCAGTCCTAATAGAGCCAATGGAACCAAACTAAAACTAAAACTAAACTAGGTATAAAAAGTTATGTTGCCAAATAACATTAGGAAATTCTGACAATAGA